GATTACGCCACATTTGCCAGGCTGGTCTCGAACTCCTGACCTCGGATGATCTGCCCGCCTCAGCCTCCCAAAGTGCTGGAATTACAGGTGTGAGCACCATTCCCAACCCATGTTCCCAATATTTCTACGTGCAGGTGGATGTCTTAGGAACTCCGAGGGCTACAACAATATTATAATGTCATAAATTATAGTGAAGATAAATGCGTTTTAGACATCAACTATCAACATTGAAAGGGTAAATTTTTGTTCGTGTTGGTACCAGGACTTATAAGTTGATAGAAGGTTTGACAATCGAAGCTACCAATTTGAAAATAATGGAAATGATATTTCCCAGGAGGCCTTCAACATGGTCTTATACTTTCATCTAAAACTCCTGATGTCTGGGGGAAAGGAGGCACAGCCATGGAGCTGGTCTGCAGCTCTCTATTTCTGCAACCTCCCCCTCCTGGGTGCAAGCGATTCTCCTGCCTCAGCCTCCCGAGTAGCTGGGATTACAGGTAGGTGCCACCACACCAAGCTAATTTTTGTATTTTTAGTAGAGATGGGGATTTGCCATGTTGTGGAAGCTGGTCTTGAACTCCTGACCTCAGGTGATCTGCCTGCCTCGGCCTCCCAAAGTGTTGGGATTACAGGCGTGAGCCGTCACGCCAGGCCTGCTCTGCAACTCTCTGGACACTATGAGGAGATGGGACTGTGAGAATTCAGTGAAAGAAGGAAGACCAGTGGCTGACGACCACAAGGACCGTCAACGCTGTGACAGTATTGTCCCAAACTACTAAAATACATGAGCGGAAACAGGCAAAACCCATCTGAATTGCTCCACAATATTCCACAATGTACTCACGTTCCAGAAGAACTCATATGTCAAGTATCCCCTTATTCCTGGGCGTTCATGTTGGCTTCATTTTTCCCTCATTACCAATAATGCTTCAAAGAATATCACTGCATATAATTTCTCATCTGTGTACTCTTACATTATAGTATAGATTTCTAAAAGTGGCTTTTTGTTCAAAGGATAGTTTTTTTTTTTTGAGACAGGGTCTCGCTCTGTCGCCCAGGCTGGAGTGCAGTGGTGCAGACTCGGCTCACTGCAGCCTCCACCCTCTGGGGTCAAGTGATCCTCCCACCTCAGCCTCCCGAGTAGCTGGGGCTACAGGCAGCTGCCACCATGCCCAGCTAGTTTTTGTATTTTCTGTAGAAATGCGGTTTCATCATGTTGCCCAGGTTGGTCTCGGACTCCGGACCTCAAGCGATCCTCTCGCCTTGGCCTCTTAAAGTGCTGGGATTACTGACGTGAGCCACTGAGACTGGCCACAAGGGACAATTTTTAAATTAATATAAGTACATGTTACTACCTAAAAGGTTAAGGCAATTTACAGTTCCTATGCAAATGTTATCTTAATGTCCTTATTGAAATTTTCCTCATGTGTTACTGAAGATAATGACCTGTTATGATTGAAGACTCTGATTTCTGCATCGTCAGTATTCAAACAGGACGACCTTTGCAAGTACTGGAGATACTTAATGTATCCACAGAGATTCAAGGACCTATGAAGAGATCTTTGGTAGCTTTTCTGGGAGTTTCTAAATTCCATGAAATTATGTTTCTGATGTTGAGTTTATATGAATGGATGAAACATTTTATAGGATTTTTCATCAGACTATCTGAACGAACATGACATCCCAAAATTAAGAAAGGTGAGTGTGGAATAATTTATTAAATTGTGCAGAAAATGGAATGAAGTAGTCTTTAGGTTTGTTCTGACTTTTAAAAAATCTCCTGTTTTTGGCCATGCACAGTGGCTCATACCTGTAATCCTAGCACTTTGGGAAGTCGAGGTGGGTGGATCACTTGAGGTCAGGAGTTTGAGACCAGCCTGGCCAACGGGGTGAAACCCCATCTCTACTAAAAATATAAAAATTAGCCAGGTGTGGTGGTGGGTGCCTGTGGCCCCAACTACTTGGGAGACTGAGGCAGGATAATCACTGGAACCCAGGAGGAGGAACTTGCAGTGAGCTGAGATTGCACCACTGCACCACTGCACTCCAGCCTGGGCAACACAGCAAGAGTCTGTCTTAAAAAAAAAAATCCTCCTGTTGTTTACCCGCAGATGTGGGGGGTTTCCATTCCCATGGCCATCCCCATTCTCAGGCCCCTTGAGCACTTGAACTGCTATGGATAAACCACTGCCATCACTTCTGTTTTCCTCACATTGGCAATACACTGACCATCGATTTTTAATCTGGGATGGAACCAGAAACAGGCCTTCTTCTTTGACATCCAATGGTAGAGGTGTATTTTCCCCTCACCAAAAATGCCAGCCTCACCCACTCACCTACCTGGCTTCACCACAGTCTTCCAGACCAAAGTCCCGTGTCTTTTGTCAGTAATCTCAACTTGAATGGGTTCCTTCATCTGCCCAGCATAGAATTTCGAGAAGGGCTGGATTTCTCCAGGACTCCTGTAGGACAATTTCAACTCCTAGAGGAAATACAGCAGTTGACTTAAAGCAGTGGTGGGTGGGAAGGCCTGGCTCCCTATAGTGAACTGGCCAATGGAACGTACCCCTGTTTTCTGTGCAATGTCATGGCTGGTTGAGGGGAAAACAGAAGGAAAGAGGTAAATTTTTTTTTTTTTTTTTTTTGGAGAACAATTTAATTTATTTATGCTCTGATCTTTTTTGAGACAGAGTCTCATTCTGTCTTCTAGGCTGGAGTGCAGTGGCACAATCTCACCTGACTGCAACCTCCACTTCCTGGGTTCAAGCGATTCTCCTGCCTCAGCCTCCTGAGTAGCTGAGATTACTAATGCGTGCCAGCACGCCTGGCTAATTTTTCTATTTTTAGTAGAGGCGGGATTTCACCATGTTGGCCAGGCTGGTCTCAAACTCCTGACCTTGTGATCTGCCCACTTCAGCCTCCCAAAGTGCTAAGATTACAGGCATGAGCCACCGCGCCCAGCCAGTAAACATTCTTTTAAATTTACAATGTTAGTAAATACTTTTATTTTATGAAAGCAAGAGCAACCTAGCTCTAAACACCCCATGAACCAGAGAAAAATGATCTGAGCTGAGTATAAAAATCTCATGTGTTGGCTGAGTGTGGTGGCTCATGCCTGTAATCCCAGCACTTTGGGAGGCTGATGTGGGCGGATCATGAGGTCCGGAGTTCGAGACCAGCCTGGCCAACATGGCAAAACCCTATCTCTACTAGAAATACAAAAATTAGCTGGGCATGGTGGCACGTGCCTGTAATCCCAGCTACTCGGGAGGCTGAGGCGGAAGAATCACTTGAACCCAGGAGGCGGAGGTTGCAGTGAGCCGAGATCGCACCACTGCACTCCAGTTGGGCAACAAGAGTGAACCTCTGTCTCAGAAAAAGAAAAAAAAAAGCGCTAGGGTTTTACCTACCTGGTGTATTATGTTCTATTAAAATAATATGTAGGGATAACTTCAATTGTGCAGAAATATACAGTCATCTTTAGTAAAAATACATAAAATGTGATGTGTAATATAAGATATCATATTTCTTCATTCAAACACCTTAACAAATACTTGTTAAGTGACTTAGCTAGGCAAGATGTCAGGTCTGCAAGGAACCTTAACAGCGAAGTGGAAACTTTGATTTAGGAATAAAATGCACAGTTTTAATCACAAGGTAAGTGCCCCAAATGCTAAAATGTTACCTCTGCCTGTGTTAAGGCCTTGGAAATATGTAATTTGATTAAGACTGTTGTCCTATATTTTCAGTTTTTAAAAACTTCATATTTGTGATTGATGAAAATACTGCATTTTGCTAAAATTCTATTTGTTTCAAAAGTACAAAATATTCTGAAATCTGCGGCGTTAGGTTTGAATTCTACCAACCGTGGGTATTATTTCCAGATGAGCAGAATTAGACACAATATAATAGGCACCAAAGTTCAGGGGTTCCATTGGAGGTGAAGTCTGTAGACGCACACCACAGAAGCGATCTTCCTCATCATCTATTGCCTGAGGAAGAAGGGGCAGAAACTTTAGAAAGCACACAAAAAAGGAAATAAGCACAAATAGTGGCATGAAAAGTGTTCTATATATTAAGTAGCATGTAGAATATGATTCCATTGATGTAAAGACTGAGATGACAGGGCCGGGCACGGTGGCTCAAGCCTGAAATCCCAGCACTTTGGGAGGCCAAGGCAGGTGGATCACCTAAGGTCAGGAGGTCAGGACCAGCCTAGGCAACTTGGTGAAACCCCATCTCAGGTTGAGATGATAGATAATATTTATATCTTAATAAAATATACAAATAATTTATTGCTCCTTAATTTTCATGGTGGACACACCCATGTACCCAACACAGATAGACAGGTAGATGGTAGAGTGATAAACTAGGTAGATATAAATTTGCCTCTATGCAAAAAAGATATTAACATTTTGCTGATGGACATCTCAGAGCCTAAGGATTTCTTGTGAATGCAAACTTATCATAATTTCTTGTACAGTTTGATTTTGTTCTTACACTGTAGAGAGTTTAGCCAGGGGACTTATGAAACAGGGGACAAAAGAGTTTCCTTTTGATGTGTCATCAGAGGACAGGTAGCTTGGCTGTGTCTGTGAATACGTCTATGACAGGCAAAGGTAGAGATGTTACTTCTCTCCATCAGAGGACTGCTGTGAGATGCTCGGCCACCTGAGCACCAGTGAGCAGATACAAAAGAGTGACGTCCTCTCTGAGAGGCCCAGCAGCCGGAGCAGAACTCGAGACCTGAGAACAATCTGAGCAGCCACCAAAGACAAAGAATGGAATTCAAACAATAAGCAAACCTTTCAGAAGTCTCAGGTACAACTCAACAGAGACTTTATGGAACGAGCGAGCAATAATTTAAACTAAAAGCAATGATAGTAGGCGGTATGATTAGTCCAGCTGTTCCACACTCTTGGGGTAATGACTGGGAGGGGGCTCAAGGGGGCCTCAGGGAAGTTGGTGATGTTCTGTGTCTTGCTCTCGGTGCCGGATACATGGGTGTGTCCACTGTGAAAATTAGGGAGCAATACATTACGTGCATATTATATTAATTTAAGAATATCAGTGACATTGATGAAGGAAGGATAGGCAAAGATGAAACCTAAAGTGGGCCTGGAAGACCCCCGCCCAGGTGGCACTGAAGGCATTAAGAAGCAGACACCCAGATAGAACAGCAAAGTGGGACTATCGGGGGGCCAACAGCCTTCCGAGCTGAGAGCCTCAGGGCCTGGCAGCATTCCTGGCTGAGGGCCTTGAACAGATTCTGACCCACTTAGTTATTCTCTCTGAACAGGTGATTATTATTAACTAACAGGTGTTCTGTGTTTTCTCACAAAACCAAGATAAACTAGGTAGCCAGCTGGGGCCTGCTTACCACTGGTCAAGGACAAACCAGAAAGTATTCTCCACGAGGGATATCCGGGGGCAGGGCCACATAGCCCGTGCTTCAAGAATTGTTTTAACTGGTGTGTGATAGACATATACTGTCTTGCTACTTTAGAATGCCCCAAGCAGTTTTCCACTGGGTGGGTGCGAGGCGGCTAGGTTTTTCCTTGCCATTGTTCTTCACAGCAAACAATACGATTTTATCATACACTCAGCATTTCTCAACAGTAGACATCACAGCAGGAACCTTATGAGCCAGAAGAGAATGGAGTCCTATTTTCAAACTGCTTAAAAATACCGTGCCAATCACAAATTTTAAATCCTGCCAGAATAAGCTTCACAAATGAAGGAGAGAGAGTTTTTCCCTGACAAGTGAATTCTGACAGAATTTGTCACCATTAGATCAGTCCTATAAGAAATGCTCAAAGGAGTTTGAACATGGAAAAAAGGTCAATATTCATCATCATCAAAACACATGAAAGTATAAAACTCACAGGTCTTCTAAAACAATTGCACAAAGGAGGAAAAGAAACCAAATGGGAACATGGTAGGGCTCCATCAAACCATGAAGACAGGGTAAGAAAAAGAATAAGCAACTCACAAAACAACGAGGTAACAATTAACATTATGATAGGAACAAAAGCTCACACATCAATATTAACCTTGAATCTAAATGGATTAAACACTTCACTTAAAAGATAGAGACAGGAAGAATGGATGAAAAACATGAACCATCTATATACGGCTTACAAGAAACTTACCTTGCTGGTTAAGACGCGTACAGACTAAACGTATTAGGTTGGTGCAAAGGTAACTGCAGTTTTTGTTGTAATGGCATGACTTTTAATGGCAAAAGCTGGTTACTTTTGCACCAACCTAAAAAGGTAGAAAAGGTGTTCCATTTCAACACAAACCAAAAGTGAGCAGGAGTAGCTATACTTACCTTAGATAAAACAGACTTTAAGTCAGAAACAGTAAAAAACAAACAAACAAACAAAAAAAACCCTCCACAAAGGTCATTATATAATGATAAAAACATCAGTTCACAGGAGGATATAACAATTCTCAATATTTGTGTACCCAACACAAGAGCATCCAAATTCATAAAGCAAATATTACTAGACCTAAAGAAAGAGATACAATATTATGGGGGACTTCAACACCTCAATCACAGCACTAGACATATCACTGAAACAGAAAATCAACAATAAAAAAACATTGTAATTAAATTGGACATTAGACCAAATGGACTAATAGATACTTACAGAACATTTACCCAACAATCACAGAATACACTGCCTTATCATTGGCACACGGAACATTCTCCAAGGTAGATCACGTGTTAGGCTAAAGAAGAGCCTCAACACAATTTCACAAATGAAAATAAGGTCATTTGAAATCAATTGAAATTAAATATACAAATCAATTGAAATTAAAGAACAAGCTTCTGAATGATCTTGGGTCAATGACAAAATGAAGATGGAAATCACAAAATGTTTTGAAATGAAATTGAAACACAACATTTCAAAACCAATCAGACACAGGAAGAGCAGTGCTAAGAAGGAAGTTTATAGCATTAAATGCCTACATGAAAAAAAAAATAAAGCACAGATGAACAACTTTATGTTGTATATCAAGGAACTAGAAAAACAAGAACCACTGAGGTGGGCAGTTTGCAAGGTCAAGAGATCAAGACCATCCTGGCCAACATGGTGAAACTCCTTCTCTTCTAAAAATACAAAAATTACCCGGGCATGGTGGCACACGCCGGTAGTCCCAGCTACTTGGGAGGCTGAGGCAGGAGGATCACTTGAGGTCAGGAGTTCAAGACCAGCTTAGCCAACCTAGCTAAACCTGTCTCTACCAAAAATACAAAAAATTAGCTGGGCTTCCTGGCAGGCACCTGTAATCTCAGCTACTAGGGAGGTTGAGGCAGGAGAATCGCTTGAACCCAGGAGGTGGAGGTTGCAGTGAGCTGAGATTGTGCCACTGCATTCCAGCCTAGGTGACAGAGTGAGACCCTGTCTCAGAAATAAAATAAAATAAATAAAATTTGGTGAGAGAATTTCTGTATATTATTTCTTCTGCCCATCCCACATCTCCTCTTTGAGAGCCAGAAAAGCAAGCTCCCCTCTCAGCAGTCCTGCATTGCTGCGGGATTGTTGCATGTGGCTCAATGTTCTGCACCCACAGGTGAACCTCAGGGAGAGTCATCTATGCTTCTCTCCATGAAAACTGTGCCTTGCCCTTTCTGTTCCACAAGGAACTGGAAGGGCTAAGGGGATAAGCTGGAAATATAATTCTCATCTTCTCTGGTCTCCTAAATCACTCTGCTTACCTTCCTTATCAAGGCATCGCTGGGAACAAGGTACAAATGGAACCTAATATCTTTGGGATGGGAGTGATAATACATCAATACATTGGAGGTGATGGAGATGGAGAACCGAGTCCCGCTGGCAATCCGCAGCAGGATGCCCATCAGAGAGAAGCTGGGGTTTTCCAGGACGGCATAAAAAGGCTCCACCCGGGCTGGATGCTCCAGGACCATCCCTTCATCTTTAAAATGGGCAACAAGGAACCAGGAGATGTCCACCTCACCTGCTGCAGGAGAGTCACAATAGCAGTGAGACAAGACACGGCCCCGCAGCCCCCACAGCCTCCGCTCACCCCGCAGTACCTTGGAGGGAGATGAAGTGGGGGAGGTGGATTTCGTAGACAGCCTCCTCTGGCTCTACAGTGATGTCAAACAAGGGGCCGGCCACCAGCCACTGTTCATGGTGCTGCAGGTCCAGGGCCAGGTGCTGACTCCAGGAACCAAATGCAATCCTCACCGTGGCCGCAGCCCTTACCACGAAACCGAGGCCTGTGGCTGACCACAGATACCAGCCAGCAGCAGGGAACCGAATGCTGAAAGGAGCCAGAGTGATGTCATGACGGGAGAACCCCAGGACTTGGATTTAAGCAGCCATGTGCAGACAGAGGTGGTATTTGAAGTGAGCAAGGTTCGGGACCCATCTGGGACTTTCACTACATTAGAAAATGCTGGGGAGTTCACTAACCTCTCTGGGCCCCAATTTCTCTGCACTTTATATATGTCGAAATTAAAATGCCAATTTCACAGTGCATGAAATAAACATATTATTGATGAAATTTCGGCTATCATAAGGAATGGAGCCTACACACTTCCTTTATATTGGAACTGTTTTCAAATCATCAGCGTCTTCCATTCTCACCTGTATCTGTTTGCATTCTCGTCAGTCAGCTCAACATCCACATTTCCTTCAGGCCCCAGAAACTGAGGATTTTTATAATCTCGTTTGACCTCAAAATGGAGTTTAGCAGCACAACAGGAAACTACCTGATGCTCTTCTGAGTAACCAACTCCTGAAAAGAAAATACTAGACATGTAAGAGGTAAGGAGTTGGAAGAGGCATGGCTGGAAGGACTCCTGGGGGCTGAATTACACAGGTGCTGTTGGGACTACCCATAGCAGATGAGAACAGAGAGTGACTAGAATATAGTGTTTTGCTACTTTGAATCCAGACAAGGAGAGACACAAGAAGGTTCTTTGTCATGAGTAAAATTATACTCCAAATTCCATAGGGTTTTCTGGGAAGCCAGGCTGGGGAGTTTTGGTGCTGGGCACCATTTGCCGAGGACTGGAATCAGTGCACCTAAATGTCTGCTGGTCCTAAATAGCAGGTGACACCTTCTGCTGGTGAGGAACGCCCAGGTCAGAAAAGGATCAAGCTCCAAAGCTGAAGAGGCGAATGGGTGAGCATTCTTCCTAGTCCCTTCGACTGTCCGCGGCTGCTAGGACCATCCCCTGGTTCGTGGGAGGCTTAAATGTCCCCATTTAAATTGCATGGTGCACCGTGGCGGAGGGAAGGAAAACCACTCCCGGTCTTCACTGCACAAAAGACCCTAACCTTACTTTTCCACGTAAAACCACAGAACATTTCCACCAATCCATATGCCCTTCACTCCTCTCCCTATTAGCCATTACCTGAACCATGTTCCTGTGAAGATTCCTGATCTTCTGATATGCTGGAGGTTGAGATTCCCATGTTACAAAAATATTTAAAAAATCAAGAATTAGTTGATGAAAATGAAGACAATGTTATTAAAAACTAGAGCTGCAGTGTCCAGTAGAGTGCCCACTACCCAGATGTGCTATTTACATTTCTATGAATTAAACGTAGGTAAACTTCAGTTTCTCAATTGTACTATCCATATTTCAAGTGCTCAACCCCTACATGTCGCTCATGGCTATAACACTGTGTAGCAGAATGAGACACTTCTGTCATCACAGAGATTTCTCTTAGGACGGATCTAGACTATCAAAAAATAGAAGACATTTGAATAAAGATATTTTTACATATATATTTTTAATTTTAATATATATATTTTAAATATATATTTTATTTAATATATATTTTAATATATGTTCTATATAATATATATTTAATATATATTATATATGTTTTAAAATATATATTAAATATATATTATATAGATTTAATTATAAATATATAAATATATAAATATTTAATTATAAATACATATTAAATTATAAATATATATTATTTATTTACATATTTTATATATCTATATATAAAAATATATTTAATATATATTATATATATTTAATATATTAATATATATTATATATATTAATATATATTATATATATTTAATATATTAATATATATTATATATATTAATATATATTATATATATTTAATATATTAATATATATATTTAATTTATATATTTAATATATATATTTAATTTATATATTTAATATATATTAATTTATATATATTTAATTTAATAATATAAATATATATTAAATTAATATATATTTAATATAATATGTTTAATATATATTAAATATATTAAAATATATTTAATATAATATATATTAAATATATATTATAAATATATGTAGAATATATATTTTATATATAACATATTAAATATATATTAAATATATATTGTATATATATTTATAATATATATATTTAATATATATTCTAAGACTTTAGAATAAAGATATTTTTATCCAGATTTATGAATAGTAGAGCTAATGTTCTCCCTAGAGCCAAATGTGTCTTGATATCTCTCCCTCTTCTCTTTATTTTATGCCGGTGTTCAACGTGGACTCAGCCAGCTTCTCTGGCTCAAATTGCTCCAGTTGGTATCATATGATGTTGGAATCAAAGACTGAAGCAGTAATTGACCGACGCGTGAAATGCGTGCATTTATATTCTAAGGTAATTCCAACCTTGGCCACACCTGGGAAGCTTTAAAAGCCACTCAATGCCCAGGTCACAGCCCACACCAATTGAATCAGAAGTCTGGAGGTAGGACCCAAGCATCGGTGCTTTCAAAGCCTCACAGGTGATTCCAACATCAGCCGACATGGACTCCATGGTCTACAGGGTGAGCCAATGGTTCGTCAGGCCCCTGGGGAGAGAAATCTACCCGCACACAGGTGATACCTTGGAGGAAGGCAACCAACTCCATTAAATTCTCTGCTTTGGGGTGTTTGAATGTGGAAAAAATCAAGACTAGGGGAGTCAGAGGGCGAGACTCCCAGTCCCTAAGACGGTAGATGATGAAATAGCAAATAAAAACAATGTTTATTTCTGTGTCAATAACAGTTACGGCACAACAGATGCTGCTGTGAAATCATGAAACATGGTTGGCTTTTCTGCTGACATTTCCTTAGGTTCCCTGGTCCTTCGATCTATTCCTTGCTATGTCTGTTTATTTCAACGTGAAAGAGACCAGCAGAGAAATCCACACGTGGATTAGGTTTAAAAAGAACAGGTACCTGGAGAAGCGGGATGAAGAGAAAGGCTCTATAGTGCTTTTCTCAGAAGGGTTCTGTGGGCAAGCCAAGCATGGAGAGACCCTTGGCCTGACATCCTAAGACTGGTTGCCGTCTGCAGCTGCACATTTCACCATGGATTCTGATGGCCACATGTAAAGCAGCAAGAGTAAACCTGCCATTGTATATTCTCTCTCCCGGTGCATGTGCACGCTGCAGTCTGCCTGCTGAGGAGGGTTTAGAAGGTGGGAGGAGCCAGCGCTGAACTGATGATCCCAGATCATGAGAACCAACGGTTTTGGTTCCATTTTCAGGGATCTTGCAAGTAGGTTGTTCAACACAACCCTTAGTCTAAATGAAGAGATACAAACTAACATTTAAATAAATCATATTAATAACAGGAATACATTCTTCAAACATACCAATTTCTAGTATTTTCTACACTGCATTCTTCTACACTTTCCAGCCCTTGAGGTTATTTATGTCTTTTGTATCTGTGTGGTGAAAATGGGATGACGGACTGCTGCAGGTGTCCTTCCAATGCCCTCAGCAGGGACTTCAGGTTGGTAGTTTGAAATCTGCCATGATGGAGATATTCACCCCTTGGAAACTGGCATATGCTACAAATAGAGGCATCCTCCCCTCCCGGGCGTTAAACCTCAGGACCCCACCGCAGCCTTCGGCCTCATCATAAGCCAGTTCCTAGAGAATTAGGTTGGTGTTAGGCATTGAGTAATAGCTCAACCAAAATACCGCACTGGTCTTTGATTTCATAGTTCCATGCCTTTTTGTGTATAGGTTCTCTAGACACCTCCATGGAGAAAATGTCATTGCTTAAGGTTTGATTCAAACATTTCTGGAATTGTGTGGCAATAATGTTCATTCATTCTAATGAATAATATTCACTTATAATATTCATTATAAGTGAATATTCAATGAATAATCATAAACTTATTGATTATGTTCATTCATTATACACATTCATAATGAATGAACATAAGCTTATTCTCTCTAATGACTTATGTGAAACATTTTTAAATACTTATTCACCATTTGTGTATACTTTTGGCAATGACAAAATGCCTATTTACTACATCATTTTCAAAATTGTGTTTTTACGTTTTTATTATAGTTTGTTTTCTTCAGCTTAAAATCAGAGGACTTTAAAATATTTTTCATTCCTATGTTTTCCTTCTTTTTGGTTTACTTTTGATTGCATTGTTTCCTCAATTATATTTTCAGAGTGTCCATAACTAGTGTACAGAAATCCAATTAATATGTGCATTTCGATTTCATAGTCTACAACATTGCTATATTTATTCCTTACTTTGAGTGGGTTTTTAGGAAATTGCTCAGGGTTTTTTTTTTTTTTTTAATGTGGGATGATGTCTTGGACTTTTAAAGACAATTATTTATCTTCTTTGTGACCTTGGGTCCTTTTCTTTCTTTTTTTCTTGCGTGATAGTTTTCTGTAGCAAAGTTCTGCAGGACAATGTTTAATAGAAAGGAAAAAAATGAACCTGTGTGTCTTGTTCCCATTATTATGGGGAAGATAGTCTTGCTTCCCACTGAGTATAATGTTTACTGCAGGTTTTCTGTACATATTCTTTATTAGGTTGTGGATGTTCTATTCAATTCCTAGCAATTTTTAAAATGTTAATTATAAAATGGATTTAGTCCAGTGTTTTTATTCTGTGTCAATGAGATGATTACATCTTAATCTTCCTTGATTTTCCTAGGATGGGATATTATATTAAATTCTTTTGAACAGCTTTATCGAGTATAATTGATCTGCAAAAAAATCCTTAATCATTAAGATACTCAAGTTGATGAGATTGAATATAAACCTGTGATATATTATTTCCTTTGATTCCAATGAAAATCACCTAAATTCCTCCTGCTTCTCATGTTCCTCTGTGATATTGAGATATAGCGACCAATGTTGTCAGCTTTTCTCAAAAATAGTTTCCCTTACCTGGAATCCTCATCCTCAAAGGGTTGAAGCTGTTGATACTGAGGAGGAAAGCTGGACAGTGATTCCTCTTCCTCCACCTGATCCTTGCGTATTAGGATATTTTGTGTGTTGCACGTCTTTTCCATGCTTGGGTGGCATGATCTTTCAGATTCTCTAAAGAAACAGAATGGGATTTGCACTACAAATATAGGGTAGGCTCTGCAGGAAGATTTTATGTTAATAGCCATAGACCCCATATTTTGTCTTTAGGAAAGTCTTTTCTCAGGCTCCCATGGCGCCATCTCACCTCTCGTTATATTCAATTTAACTGTCTTTCTGTCCCCCACTAAATACTGGTTTTTACATCCAGGAAGCAGACCTCAGTCAATTCTCAACACTTACTCTTTGCCACAAGGTGTAATTGCATAACAGGTCAACCTTGCTGAAAAATGTAGGGAAAAAATGAGATTCCTAGTTTATACTCCATGTTCACCCATCATTTGCACCAAAGAGAATGGAACCCTAGAATGACTGACTTAAAGCCCAGGACATTAGTGAGATTGGGCACGTGTGAGAACAATCCATGGAACAGTGGAGCTCCTCCTTTGCCCTCTGCTTCCACCTGGTGAGGAGAGGCTGGGTAAAGACAAGCATGCTCAGAGGAAGGAAATGATGCATACTGCACTTACTTCCTTCTTCCATCAAAGATCCTTACTCAGATATGGAACATGAAAGCCCCATGCTAGATCCTTTCCTCTTCTTCCTTCTCAAGGGCTGGGCTCTGGTCTCCTTTGGCTCGTGGGAATCAAGATTGGGGTTAGAAGGGAGTGTCCACTGAGCCAAGATCGTCCCTGGCCAGTATGACAGCCACTAGCCACATATGCCTGTTTAATTTTTTTTTTTCATTTTGGGAGCAGGTACTGTTTATTAACTGACCGGATTAAAAACATAGGGCCGGGTACGGTGGCTCACGCCTGTAATCCCAGCACTTTGGGAGACTGAGGCGGGCGGATCATGAGGTCAGGAGATCGAGAGTTTAGCCTGGCTAACATGGTAAAACTTTGTCTTTATTAAAATCACAAAAAAATTAGCCGGGTATTAAAATCACAAAAAAATTAGCCAGGCGTGGTGGTGCGCGCCTGTAGTCCCAGCTACTTGGGAGATTGAGGCAGGAGAATCGCTTCAACCCGGGGAGGCAGAGGTTGCAGTAAGCCGAGATCACGCCATTGCACTCCAGCCTGGGCGACAAGGCGAGACTCCATCTCAAAAAAATAAATATATAAATAATAATCATGATAGACACCTTAGTGTCTTAGTTCACTCTTCTAAGAAGCCTATTGATCTGGTCCTCCCTGTTGCCAGCATCTCCACCTTCTACAAAATGGGCGCTCTTTTTCTTCACTCCACCTCATGGAGAGGATAGTTTAAAGGGCCACAGGAATTTGTTTCTTTAAAGCATTTTCCAGCAGTATAGATCTCAGGAATCTAATCCTCCATGCAGAGGATGCCACATGTACCAAGAGGTCGAGCAATGAGTGTTATCCGTCAAAGCAATTCACTTTTTCTTGGATTTGCCATAACCACGCTTGTAGATTAGCTCATTTACTGACTTCAGATTTGGGTCCCCCCATGTAATATATGGCTCTGCAATCCTCAGCATGTTAACTGAAGCCCTGTTGAGGTTCTCAAAGGTCCCATTAGAGATTTGACGAAGGAGAAGAAGCTGCAACACCTTTCGGACTTATGGGCTCACACCATTGACCCCTCTGGTCCTGATGACAAAGGCCAATTTGGGTTCTGCAGGTACACAGAAGTCGCCAGCTTTTCCTGGCATCCTCGCCATTTGAATTTCAGTTCTGTCCATCTGCCTATATTCCTTGCGACAGTGCTTCGCCTTTTCAGAGATAAGCTTCCTCCTTGCCTTTTGAAGCATCTTTTGAGCAAACTTCTTTCTCGGGCACTTGACCTTCAGCTCTGCAATATTCCTATGCTTTTTCTCCCATCCAAGTACTAACCAGGCCCCAACCCTGCTTAGCTTCCGAGATCAGAAGAGATCGGGTGCAGTGGGAGTGGAACAGCGGGAGACTCCTTTCCTTTTTCTTAAGGCTTTCTGGCACAGCAGGAAGCTTTTTCTTCTCTGCGACACCCTCCATGGTTCCAGCCAGAAAAACATAAGTTTTAATTTTAATTAGTGAATTAAATGTGAAAATCAGTTTCTCATTTGAACTACTAGCACATTTCAAGTGTTCAGATGCCACCTGTGGCCAGTGGCTTCCATATTGGACAGCGCAGGTAGGGAGCACTTTGATCCTGGTAGGAGCTGTCTACTGGATAGCACTGATTTGAGTCATCTGCTACAGTCCAGTTGGCCAAGAAGTCCTGCTTTGGGGTGTCTGGCATTGATTTAACCAAACAAAGTGGTTCTTTGAGCCCTACCATCCGTGGTCTCCTGTGTGTAGCACTGCCCTTGAAATATCCCCTGGAAAAGGGATGGATGGACTCAGCAAGAGTGAGGAATTCCTGTGTTCATTAGCAGTACTTTCCACCTGTCAAATATCACCCGGACATACAGCCTACACCTGAGCTAATAGCAATGTATCACTATCAATGTCCTGTTTTTGACAGTGACTAGTCCTATTAAAAAGTATTGGCCAGGTGCTGTGGCTCATGCCTGTAATACCAGCACTTTGGGAGGCTGAGGTAGGCGGACCACCTGAGGTCAGGAGTTCAAGACCAGCCTGGCCAACACGGTGAAACCCCGTCTCTACTAAAAATACAAAAATTAGCTGGGTGTGGTGGCACATGCTTGTGGTCCCAGCTACTCAGGAGGCTGTGGCAGAAGAAACGCTTGACTTGGGACGTGGAGGTTGTAGCGAGCCAAAATCATGCCACCTTTGCACTCCAGCCTGGGTGACAGAGCAAGACTCCATCTCCAAAAAAAAGAAAAAAGGGAAAGAAAAAAAAAAAGAAATTTAAAATTATAACAAAAAAGAAAAAGAAAATAATATACTGATTTTATGCAATTAGCCAAAATGTCTCTGCTTCATATGAATTTATACAAGAGAGAGAAGCAAGATTCAAAATCTTCCATTTTTTGCCAAAGAATATATGTCTCTTACTCATGGAATATGATCTGAGGAGGAAAGAAAACTGCTACTGTCACATCTGTTTCATTTTGCTGAGTCACTCTGTGATGGAATGAGAAAAAATGCGTCCTCTTTCTGTATCTCCATCCACACAGCCTGGGAAAACACAAATGGAGTTAGAATGTAAGTAGGTGGGAGGAGCCTGATGGTCAGACAGCCTCTTCACTGTGATGCAGCGTGAAGCAGCCCCTGATCAGGTGACCATCTTTAGAGACGCCGTCTCTGATGCCCATCCTATCATAAAAGCTCATTCCGCCACACTTTTGTTGAATTAACTGCATCTCTGTCTCCACTTGGGAAACAGTGATCTTATCTCAGCAGGCACGCCTCCTTTGATTCTCAATCCCTGATGGTCACCACAGTCCATCACACTTGGTGACATTCACTCCAGGCTTCTGAAACAAGACCACATTCTTGTAAGTGTAGAAGCATAAGAAGGGCCCTACTCTTCCATCCATCACTGATCCTTAAAAGGAGGGAATGTTAACTTAATTGAGTCAAACTGCACAACACTGGATGGACTGAACTTCTTTAAAAGCAGAATCTCGGGCCGGGTGTGATGACTCACGCCTATGATCCCAGCAATTTGGGAGGCCAAGGTGGGCATATCACCTGAGGTCGGGAGTTTGAGACCAGCCTGACCAACATGGAGAAACTCCATCTCTACTAAGAATAAAAAACTAGCCAGGTGTGGTGGTGCATGCCTGTAATCCCAGCTACGAGGGAGGATGAGGCAGGGGAATTGCTTGAATCTGGGAGGTGGAGGTTGCAGTGAGCTGAGATTGCACCATTGCATTCCAGCCTGGGTGAGAAGAGTGAAACTGTCTCAAAAAAAAAAAAAAAAAAAAGGGAAAAAACCTTACGTAACCTCTCTGAGTATCAGTTTTCTAACTTGTAGAATAAGGATGCAATGCCATCATCACAAATCCTTGTGGTGATTAATTCTAGAAGGCTAAAATTACTTAGTACAAGACCTAATATATACTGGGTTCCAGAAAATAACTCATCACAATTGCCTTCAACATGCCCTAGTCTATGGTCTTTTATGCATGCCATAGGATCTAGTCAGGTCAAGCTACTATTTTAATTTAAAAAAAAAATAGCCCGAGTGGGTTTTGAACAGTATAAATTTACATCTCACCATTTTAGAGATTGGAAAGTGAAAGACCAAGGCACTTGCAGATTTGGCAGCTGGTGAGGACCTGCTTCCAAACTCATAAGCAACCGTCTTTCTGTGTCCTCACGTGGCAAAATGGGAAAGGAGTTCTCCAGGGTCTCTTTTATAAGGACGGCTCTGCCTTCATGACTTAATCACCTCTCAAAGGCCCCACCTACTAATACCATTTCATTGAGAGTTAGGATTATAACAACGAATGTTGGAGGGACACAAACATTCAATCTACAGCAGATTCTGAATTGTGTACATGGAAATCTTTGGATACATTCATTTATTCTGAGTTCCAAGACTGTGCAAAATAGTGCATTGGTTTGGCACAATTGAGATGTGTGAGCCTCGTGCTATTGAGGAGCTGCTAAAACACAGACGGGACAGCTTAGTGAGTCAGGCTGTATGGTTCTGCTCCGATCTGGGAGCCATGCTGTGGGATTGTCAGGAGCATCGTCAAAGCCACGTGACACACATACCAGGGAGAGAGCTGGAAGAAGATTCATTTTTGCTCAGGTATGAAGTCACCATGGTCAGAGTCAGGGATGGAGAGAGGAGGTCTAAAAAGTACACCTGGGCTCCCATGGGGGTTTTCCCCTTCAGTCATGCAGAGATGAATGAGTGAATGAGTGAATGAATGAATGAATGAATTAAATGTAAGCAGAGCCTTAACCTGCAGAATGAGAGAAAATGTTTGCAACCCATCCATCTGGGAAAGGTTTAATATCCGGAATCTACAAGGAACTTAAATTTACAAGAAGAAAACAAACCCATTAAAAAGTGGGCAAAGGACATGAACAGGCACTTCTTGAAGGAAAATATTTATGCAGCTAAGAAACATATGAAAAAAAGCTCAACATGACCGATTGTTAGAGAAATGCAAATCAAAACAACAATGAGATATCATCTCATGCCAGTCAGAATGGCAATTATTAAAAAGTCAAGAAACAATAGATGCTGATGAGGCTGTGGATAAATAGAAACCCTCTTGACTGTTGGTGGAAATGTAAATTAGTTGAACTATTGTGGAAAACAGTGTGGCAATTCCTCAAGGAACTAGAACCAGAAATACTATTTGACCCAGCAATCCCATCACTGGGTATACACCCAAAGGAATAGAAATCATTCTATTATAAAGATACATGCACACATATGTTTATTGTAGCACTGTTCAAAATAGCAAAGATATAGAATCAACCCAAATGCCCACCAGTGATAGACTGGATAAAAAAATGGCACACATACGTCATGGAATACTAAGCAGTCATAAAAAGCAGATCATGTCCTTTGCAGGGACATGGATGAAGCTGGAAGCCGTTATCCTCAGCAAACTAACGCAGGAACAGAAAACCAAATACTGCATGTACTCACTCATAAGTGGGAGCTGAACAGTGAGAACACATCGACACAGGAGGGGGAACAAAACACATCAGGGCCCATGGGATGAGTGAGGAAGGAAGAGCATCAGGATAAATAGCTAATGCTTGCAGAGCTTAATACTTAGATGATGATGGGTTGGTAGGTGCAGTAAACCACTGTAGCACACGTATGTCTATGTAACAAATCTGCGTGTCCTGCACATGTATCCTAGAAGTTAAAATAAAATAAAAAAGAAATGTAAGCAGATCCTTTTCCTCCAGAAAATATCCATGGTGCTCTGCAGCGCATGAAAAATAATGAGATGCAGAAGAATGAAGCAACAAGAGCCCTCACAGAGCACACAGTCACTCACCATTTCCAAAGCCATCTCCAACACCTGAAACTCTTTTTTGAAGATATCCTTCTTCCCATTTATCAAAAGACGTATTTATTTATTTCTCCACTGTGTCTCTACTAACCCTGAGTAAAGAAAAGAAGATGACATTGAAACAAGTCAGAAGGACCTTCAGATAAATGCTAGCTTCCATATCTCCACAAGACAGATAAATTTAAGTGCTTATTACCTAAGAGCCTAGGAAGTAAACTAATAAAGTAAAAAAGAAATACAAAAATGAACAAGAAAAGCGTTTATTACCCATTCAGGAGCCATGCATCACTGGCATCATGCCCAGTAGTGGTAGGCACTTAGGACAGAGGCCAAAACAGGGGAACTTGTAAGATAAAAAGTTTTTTTTCGGGGCTGGGCGTGGTGGATCATGCCTGTAATCCCAGAACTTTGAGAAGCCGAGGCGGGCAGATCAGGAGTTCAAGACCAGCCTGGCTGACACGATGAAACCCCGTCTCTACTAAAAATACAAAAATTAGCCAGGCATGGTGGCACGTGCCTGTAATCTCAGCTACTCGGGAGGCTGAGGCAGGAGAATCGCCTGAACCTGGGAGGCAGAGATTGCAGTGAGCCAAGATGGTGCCACTGCA